ACATCACGCCATCTACAACTGCTATTTACCATAGGAGGGTTCGCCGACCTGCTGCCCTCTCTGCTTCGCCGGAACCAAAAAACCACCGGTGAAGGCCCCAACCTCGCCGGATCTGTTGCTGCACCGCCAGATCTGCCTTACTGATCCATCGCTGGAAGGAGTTACTGCTTCGTATGCTCGCTGCCGTACCCACAACTCGCCGGAGAAGAACCTCGCTGCTACTCACTACTGACGGTTACTACTTAGCCGCCAAGTCTCGCCATCTCGCCTCACAGGAGTCACAGCAGCGCTTGTCTAAACAAGATTAGAAGAATAAGACATAAAAAGACAGAAAAGCTCTTCTAATTCACGGTCAACAAACGACTTCATTGACGGAGGATCAAACTGTCCAACGACCAATAACAGTGTCTACTAAGTGACAATTTTTATTATGCTGGATGAAAAGTGTCAATGCCTCAATAAGTCTAGGACAAAAAATGGCATTAACTCCGGAATACAATACAAGAATATTTAATTATGGTTATATTATTATTGTGCCTCACGACCATTATATACTAACAATACTTGAAAAGAAACTAATAATAATAATAATATAAGTGGTAATAATAATATCTAAAAGTAATTAAGTGTTAATAATAATAACACTATATAATATTTGATGTTATAATTTATATAATTATATATATAATCTTATACTTGTCATAATTCGATCATATATTCGGGTTGTATAATCTGGACCCCCGAGTTCATATAATCCATCAATATATCGTTCCAAATATTCTTAAAATATTATAGTAAATTCATTCCGTGCATCGCACGGGTGAAAATACTAGTTTAATTAAAAGCGCAATGCTACGCTTTGATATTTTGTTGATGGTGATATGACTGAGTTTGTGGATAAGCATCAACCCTGCCCCTTCACATGAATACTTTATAATTGTTTTTTTTTTTTTTTTCGAGTATCCATAGTGCGTGGTGAGTTTTTTTTTTTTTTTTTTTTTTTTTTTTTGTCAGATTTTTATGACATTGTATTCGTTAACTGATCATATTTTTCAAATGTCACCAAATAATTTATAAAAGTATTACTCATTTTAGTCTTCTATTTCTAGATAAATAAATGGTAAATATAGTCTCTTAATTATATACGGAGTATATTATTGTATTTGATTGTTAAACTGTTAGCAATATGGTAAAATTACTCTTGTGATTACAAAATTATTAGGATATGTTTACGAACTGAAAAAAAGTTTACATTTTTTAGAAAAAAAAAATTTACTATATTACTTATACATTTGAAAATATATAATTTACTAAATTAACTTTGAAAATTTCACTTTTTAACCTTTTAGACTCATCTCAACTGTTTAAATTTGTGCTAAATTTTTTTTTTTTCCAGACTAGGTAGAAAATAGAGGAAGGGGAAAAAATAGGGGAAAAAGTTAATAAATGTGGTTGCTAATTGGGAAGTGTGTGCGGTGCATGCATTTGCTGGGCGTTGCTAGTGCGCGAGACCCTCACTAATTTGCCTAATTCATTTTTAGGAATGTTCTTAGAGTAAAATTAATGGTTAAAATTTTTTTGATAGGTCTTTATCAAATTTGATGCCAACTTGTCAAGTTGAAAGAAAGAGACAATAAAATAAAATAAAACAAAAAAATCATGGTGCACACATTACCTATTACCTATTCATTTTTTTCTCAAACACCATGCAAACTCAATTCGTAAAAGAAAAATCATATTTTTCTCGTTGTTCTCATATCTCTTCTAATCAAGTCAAAATTTAAGCCAAAATCTTTTATTGCTGATGTTGTTAACCATCAAAATTAGCATTTTCATCCAAACTAATCCATCATCTATCATAATACTAATAACTTAATAACCAAATGCCATTGCGTAACCAAATGCTAACCAAAAGCATTAAGAATGCAAAATTGTATGAAAGATTTTGCGGTTTGAAGGTAGGTCGTAAACACAACAGCAACATTATTAAAGGCACACACTATCATTGAACTAATATTGAGCTTGCAATGGGGGCTCACAATGCCAATTTGCCAAAAGCAATAAACACACACACACACACATTGTAGTGTCTCATTCAAGAAATGAAAAAGGTAGGTATTTTGATTAGGTGGATAAACCAATTAAAAACAAAAGAAATTAATAAAGTTAACAAAAGTGCAGGTGATTCTACAACGATAGAATTGACGTTTACTGGGAAATGAAAGTACTAGTTAAGATGGTTGAGATAAGATACAAATTATGTGTTTATTAGTTGTATTAAAATGCGTTTGAGTACAACGTTCATAATACAAAGTGAGTTTGAAAGACCCTTCTTAGTTGGGAATTGGAGTGCATTGGGAAAAATGAATTTCAAATCTCTCATCAAACTAGAATAAATTAAAAACGCTAGAGCAGGGAGCACATTGATAAGTCTGACATGACGATGTGTATATGCTGGTGGCTCAAGTTGGTCATGGCGTATTCGGATACTAATGCAATATCTAGAATAGTAATAATGAAATTAACCTATTATCGGACGATGCCTAATTTTGATCCCTAGCCCCTGACATCAAAGACCATAAAACATCTAAATATAGTCCATCATCATATTATTGTACCAATAAACTTGCTATGTAACCCATCAACTTCAAACACAAATGTCTCATTCTTTTCCATCTTGAAAGTAAACTTGTCACCCACTAAAAATATACTTTTAGTTTTGTTTTTTTTAAAAGAATTATTATTAAGTGGTATATTTTTGCGCAGGATTTTAGAGAACAAATAACAAAACAACAACAACCATAATAATAAGAGTTAATACTCAAAATCGTCTTCGACTATAGTGGTTTTTCTCAATTTCGTCCTAAATGACTTTGGTGACCTAATATCGTCCCAGAGTTTTGTGTTTCGCTCAATTTAGTCCTCCATTTGTTATTCCGTCAAATTAGTGTTAAATTAAGGGACAATTCAGTAATGTCAATATTGATCTCTCTTTACTTTCAACTTGTGAAGTGCGAAATTCCTCTTTCTTGTACGAATTACACACAGATTTACTCCCGGACCTGCAAATCAAATTTTATATTCGCAGTTTTAGGAGTAATTCGTAAAACAAAAAGGGATTTCGCAGTTCACATGTCTATGAGTAAAGAGATGCCAATATTAAAATTACTGAATTGTCTATTTATTTAACACCAAATGGACAGAATAACAAATGTGGGACTAAATTGAGCAAAAACTCAAAAATCTGGGACTAAATTGAGCGAAACACAAAAGTCTGGGACGATATTAGGTCACCAAAGTCGTTTAGGACGAAATTGAGAAAAACCACTATAATCGAGGACGATTTTGGGTATTAACTCATAATAATAATAAGGTCACTGAATTGGTGGTTATTTATTTGGATAATTGGATGGGATTTTTGACATCATATATGGTCCCGACATTTCACATCAGGGTTTCTTCTTTTTTTTTTTTTTTTTTTTTTTTTTTTTATGGTCCCATAAATAAAGGTATAATCCAATCATCAAAATCAATAACCCCATGAAGAAGAAAAGAAATAGAGATAAATAAACAAATAAATAATAAAGAAAGAGACTCCCACCAAAAAAACAAAAATAAATAAATAATATTGACTGATTCCACTTTCTTCGATTCTTCTTCAATTGCCATCCAAATGTCTTGATTGTTCCAAACCTTTATAAATAAATAAATAAATAAATAAATATATATATATATATATATATATATATATATATATATATATATATATATATATATACACACACACACACACACACACACACTACTTTGGTTTATTTATTTTATTATTATTATTATTAGATGAAGAAAGAATATACAATTGCTACATAAAGTTGTGAAGATACATATTACATAAATTCTATTCATGTATGATAGATTATAAACTACACTATGTAATAGACTCAATCGAAAGTGTGTTGGTAATAATTAAACAAATGTAATTTATTTTTAATTTACAAGTGTTTAAAATTAAATATAAAAATATTAATTTTAATTTTAAAATGAATTGTTTTCCCTTATAAACTAACAAACAAATCATACGCACAAAAGAAAAGTCTATTACAACTAAATAATTTATAGGTTTAATTCCATTTTGGTGACTATTTGTATTTTTAATTTTTAGTCATCAAATACAATATTAACTACATCTAGTTCTCCACCTCCTGAAAATATATTACTTTTAATTTGTACACTATTAAAAATGTGTAAAGAAAATAATAAAAACACAAGTTTTCAATAGTCGTGTAACCAAATTTGAGTTACTTTAAACTCGATGGCCAAATTTTACAAAATAATATTTATTTTGTCCAATTTTAATTGTTGTGTCCATTAATCTTTAGTCAAAACAATTATTTATTTATTTTTTTTTCAAAATATTATTTTATAATTTTTAAATTTGACATTTTGTTATATAATATTTTAATGTATTTTTTAAAAATATTTAACAGTTATATATAAATATTAATCATTTTATTCAATTTTATCTGTTAATTAACTTGTTATCATTGATTTATTTTCTTATGCTTTTTTCATTAATTTTATATTTAATTTATTTTATGTTTAATAATATTTTAATATAATTTGTAATAAATATATATAAATTTTATATACTAATATTAAATTTAATGTAATGAAAAATTGAATTATAAATAATTTAATTAAATTAAACTTTATTAAATGAATCAAATCAAATAAAACACAATAAATGAAATGAAAGGAGTAAAAAATAAAAAATTATAAAATTGTAGAGCATTGATGATCATTGTTACGTTCTTGGGGAATAGCCTATGGGGATCTTTTGGTTCAGAAATTTGACTTGGGAAATGATTATTTTTCCACAAAAGCATTCAAGAGAGTCTGCGCTTTTGGATGCTTCCTCAATCCTCCCTATATACCCTTTTCTTCTTTATTTCGGTTCCATCTCTCTCTCTCTCTCTCTCTCTCTCTCTCTCTCTCTCTCTGTACTTCCAATCTTCTATCCCTGGGTAGTATCGTAGTAGTGGTTAGCAGGTTACCCGCTATTTTACGTAAAGTCTACTATACTTCAACTTCACAGGTCTCTCTCTCTCCTCTGTGCCTCTGAGGTGTAGTTGGGGCCTTGAAATTGAATGGTATTCTTTTGGATTTTCCTATGTGAGTTAGGTGGTTGCTTTAATGGTGAATTCATGTGCTGTTCCTAGTTCGTGGGTTCTTACATGGCACCGTCGGTTGTGGTGACCCAGAATCTCTAGGCTTATCCACTTGGGAAGACAAGTGGGATTTTTCATTTTTGGGCATCTTAAAAGAGTGGGGTTTTCTTATCTGGGCAACAAGTTAAGAAAGATTGCAGCTTTTCTTGAGTTTGAACTAGGTTTTAGTGCTTCAAGTTTGAAATTTTGCCTGGAATCCATCATCTTTCTGATTCTTCTGTTTGCAGGTAAGAATTTTCTGATCATTTGCTCGGACTGTGCTTATAATTTACAGTGAATTGAAATTCTTGGTTGAATAAGTTTTCTTTAATTTCTCCTGATTAAAGTAGTTCTTGGAATCTTGGCATGGCTATTTATCATTTGAATACAAAATTGATTGGTGTTAGATGAAAAGTAGGCTATGTAAAACAGATTAGATGACTAAAGTGGTAATCTTTTGTCTTTATATTGCTATGTAAGACAGATTAGATGTGGGCTTTGTGTTCTTGAATGTTTTTTTTTTTTAAAAAAATATTGTTTTATTAGTGATTACAGTTTAACTATCATTTAAACAAGGAAAACTTACCATTTTTTATGCTTCTTGCAGTTTAACCATACATCTGTGTGTCACTGATAATCCTTCTTTATGGGGAGTGATCCCACTGAAGGTGCAGAAGCACTCCCGTCTCCTCAGTCTATTAAGGTATAGAATTGATGTGTTCTGTGTTGAAATCTCGGTTGTCTCTACTTATGAAGAAATTAGTCCGTGTTTCACTTTAATCCGGTCAGCCTGTGAGATCGGGATTTGGTCTTTCTTGAGTCATATGGCGCTATGTTAGATTTGTCTAATATCTCTGTGGCTAAAATGACTGCAGGTGCATCTTCTAATGTGTTCGGAATTGATCAAGTTTGTTACTCGAGCCTTGGAAATACTTCCGGAAATAGAAGCATCTCGACCTCGATGCACATCGGGATTGGAGGCACTTTGCCTATTGAACCAAGCGATCGACAAGGCCAAGTTAATACTTCAGCAATGCAGTGAATCCAGTAAGATCTATTTGGTACGTATCGTGTGACATTTTGTTGAAAAAGGATGACGTCTTTATAGTTTTCAAGCGGCAAGTTTAGATCATCTGTTAAGCTATGCTTTGTATGTAATTATGTATCTTGGAACAATTGAAGCATGTGCTGCGTCTTAACTAAAAGCCTAAGCTGATAGTTGGATTGCACATTAATGGTTAAATGCTCAACAAGAACATTATCAGAAAGTGTCACTAATCTCGTTTTATTAAGGTCTAATGTATAAGTTGATCAGTTTAGTTTATTTGGCTTTCGTATAATTTGATCTTCTTAGCCAGTTATTTATAATTCTTTCTTTTTATAACCGTATGGTATTTTCTATTGTATTTGCAGGCTCTAACGGGTGATGTTATACTCGCAAGATGCAAAAAGTCAACGAAGTTACTGGAGCGAAGCTTAGGCGAGATGCAACATATGGTCCCCGTTATGCTGGCTGCAGAGGTAGAAGAAATAAAAAAATTCCATTTTTAAGCATTTTTATCCTACCGTTATACTAACCCGACTAGATTTGGATTAAAGTTTATTTGAATCAAAACTAAAGTTAATTAACTGCTGTTCTGCAGATTTCTCAGTTAGTTGCTGATCTTAGAGGAGCGAAATTTAGATTGGATCCATCGGAAGAAGAGGCCGGGAAGACTGTGAAAGAATTACTTCATCACTACGCATCGGCATCTTGTCTAGCGGGAGAGAGTGCACCCGAGGCGATTCAAGTTGCGATGTTAATGCTTAATATTTCCACGCCTAAAGCTCTCGTGATAGAGAAAAGATCTATCAATAAAATGCTGCTGGATAAAGTTGTTGAAGGTAATCAGTCGAAGAAGAAGATTTTGTTGTTCTTCCTAAATCTTCTTAACAAGTACGGGAACAAAATTCTGAAAGAGAAATCGGAGAATAGCTCGGTACAGCTTGTTGATGATCCTTTTCCATCTGCCGGCTCTGATGGTCCATCGACCGAGGTTGAATCGCCCGTTAAACGTGGAGCTGGAGAATCTGACTCGCCTCCGAATGAATTCAGATGTCCTATATCGTCGAGATTAATGTATGATCCTGTTGTGATTGCTTCCGGGGAAACGTACGAGAGAATGTGGATCCAGAGGTGGTTTGATGAAGGCAATAGTACGTGTCCAAAGAGCGGGACGAGGTTGACTCACTTTTCGTTAACCCCGAATAACTCGATGAAGGACCTAATATCGAGGTGGTGTGTAGAGAGCGGAGTTGCTCCTTCCGACCCGAATATGCAGGCTGCAGTACCTCACCCGTGGGAGCTTTCGTCCGTTTCGATCGCTAGCCTCGGGAGTTCTATGAACGATCTGAGGCTTCCGATAGATTTCAGCAATTTGTCACTCGGATCCTCAGACTCCTCATATCCCAAGATCACGAGTCACTCGAATAACGCTAATGGGAATTCTCGTAAATCTCGGATCAGTGGAAGCATGAATGAAATGGACATGGAGTCTTTGTACAGTCTGGAATCACTTTCCTGGGAATCGCAATGCGACTTGGTCGAAAAAGTTAGGAGTAGTTTGCAACATAGCAATCGAGCTCCCAAGCAGACCTCATCTGAGAACTATGTTCAACCGCTAATGAGATTTTTGAATGGCGCACATGATTTACAAGACGAGAATGCCCAGATATTGGGGTGTCAGTTGTTGCTAACGTTCCTCAAGAAATGCAGGTACTCTCTCGCTCTTTACCTCCCGAGTTGTTGAGCATATAATATATATAAACATAAATGTGCAATCCAACTATCAGCTTAGATCTTTAGTTGAGATGGAGCACATGCTTCAATTGGTATCAGAGCCATGCCAAAGGTCATTGGTCCACATGTTGCTCGTGAGGGGGCGTGTTGAGCATATAATATATATAAACATAAATGTGCAATCCAACTATAAATATTAAGATGTTTCGGGATACTAATTAACTTTTGGTTGCTTTTTGCAGTAGCAATGCAGCCCGGTTCTTGGATAACGATGCATACGAATTGTTGGTATTGTTTCTTACGACCAAGGCTTCTACAGAAGCTCTCGCCATCTTGGAGGAACTGTCGTGTCATAACTTCTGTCAATATAAAATTGCGGAATCCGGTGCCCTCAACCTCATCCTCGACATGCTCAATTCCGAAAACCGGGATTTGTTGGAGCCGTCCATCAGAATACTCTTCAACTTGTCTGGAAACGACAACATCCGGCTTTTATTCGTGCCCTCCGAGCTGATCCCGAGATTGATTCCGTTCTTCAACGATGCCTGTCTCGCGAGATATTCCTTAGCCATCTTGAAAAACCTGTGCAACAACCAAGATGCTAGAATCTCTGTCGCTGAGACCGACGGGTGCATTGCTTCTGTGGCGAAGCTACTGGATAGCGAAAATCTCGAGAACCAAGAGCATGCAGTGGCCGTTCTTCTTTCATTGTGCTCTCAAAGATCTCAATATTGCGACCTCGTTATGGCTGAGGGGGTTATCCCCGACCTCGTTAGTATATCCCTCAACGGGAATAGCAAAGGAAAGGCAATGGCTTCAGAAATGCTGCGGATCTTGAGAGACGAATGCCACAGCATCGGAGAACCTTCCCAACCCGACACCAATGCCACTAGATACACCGCCACTGCCAATGGCGGCAACGACTCTACGGAGAGAAGACCATCAACCAAGCCAACAGGAATTCTCGGGAAATTGTTCGCTGCAAAAAGGAGAAGGTAGGAACCGGATATCCTCTCTTCTTATTCTAGGACAAGATACTAACTATCCTCGGGATTAACACCTAGGAGCAAGACCACTCAACGCGCGCTAAGGTATTGATTAAAGCCGAATATGTACAGTTCTGCATAATATGAAGTGGGATTTGCTTATTATGTTATTGTGGTTAGATGAGAAGATATTGCTATTAGTGAAGTAAAATTTGTGTATATGAATTAGGAGTGTAGATGGGTATAGGTTTGGAAGTATTAGGTGGAAAAATCCCATTTAGTATAGTGATCTGCAAATGGATGAGAGTTGCAGATTCTTGAGATGGGTGCTTCATTATATGCTGTAGATCAATGAAGTCTGTTTTGTATATGATGACAATCTATTTTGAAAATATATATTTTTCTTTTTATGGTACATATTTTGTTCTAAGGCTTTTGGCATATCTCGATTCTCGTCAGTGGTTGTAGATTCGTGATTATATTAGATTCTAACTAATTTGAGTTCCAGTTATTGTCGAGGATACTCGTGATTACGTTAGATTCCAACAATCTCAGAGGTTGATTGTAAGGAATTAGATTCTAAATTAAGACTTCTTACTGCTATTACTCTGAAGACTGGTGGAAGAAGTAAATTGCAAGATGTGTTTCAACTGATCGACATGTTCGATATTCTCATTTTATAAATTTGAATTTCAAACTTAAGACCCCTCACCGCTCCTACTCTAGAGACTGACATATATAAAATAAATTGTGGGATGTAGCTCAACTGGCCGCCTTGCCCCAAATACCCTACAATATGCTCATTGATTATGCATGTTTTGTCACTTTTGTGTGTTGTAGTGAGACCTCTTTCAACCATTTAATGTTGCAAGTTGCAGTTTTGTCATATCATCTCTCAATTGGGAGGGACATTCATATCCTGCAGATTAAAGTCTATGGACCTATAGACCCTGCAATCATTTCTTTTCTTCTCTTAAATGATCAAATGGATGGGGCTTGTTAGGATATTTAATACAGAGAGTGGTATTCCACCATAATGTGGTCCAACAATCACATTTGTGACTAGGATTTGAATTTTGTCTAAATTTGAGGTACTTTTGCGTTGTAACTAGATGTGTTTATTCGGTTAATTCAGTTTGAAATAAACTAAAGTAATCGGATTTTCATTTTGAATGTAGTTAAGCGTGCTTGACTTCTAGCAGTCACCCAGATCCAACAACTATAATAAAGTTTTAAGTTCGACTCCTTAGGGAGTTATTTATTAGCATTCTTCAACCATTCCAATTCACTTCTAAAGAGTTCATTACTCGCCCTATAATGAGATAAGGCACTAAGTATGCTCTACTTGGGTGAAACCCAACTAAATTGGTCAGATAGTTGGTTTGATAATCACAAGATTTCAAGTTCGACTCTCTGTGCTAGCGGTTAGAATGTATACAACAAAATATTAGTATTATTATCAATATACATCTTTGTCTTTTGGTCTTCATATATTGAGCTTCTGCCTCAATTCCTCAATTTCAACAATAAACAGGGAAGTAAAAGAGCAGTTCCTTTGATCTGAGCAACTAACACTGAAGAAGCTACTTACTACTAAGCAGCATTATTCTCAGCAATAATTAATGGGCAGTGGCATCTTTTATAGGGAATAAACAGAGAACTCTACTGTGTTACCAGCAACAAAAACAAAAGATGATGAGGATTTACGATCCGCATTAAGATCATTCGCAGGCTAGTTTCGTGTCATAGCTGCTCAAGCAGATGGCAAAAGCCTGGAAGGCGGAAAGAGGGTAGCGATAGTCCATGGTGAAGATATCCTTCCCGATTTTCCCAAACTGCAGGATCACTTTCTCCTGTTCTGCAGCTGGGATGTTGTGAGACGGGTCGACTGCAGCCACGAGTTGGAAGTTTTTAACCGAAGCCACTGTGACCCGGCCTTTAAAATTTAGGCACCAGCACTGCAACTGTTCGTGCCATCTAGGGGCCTTGTTTTTTAGGGTAAGTGGCTCTTCAGAAGGCGGTGGTGCTGACTCTAGAGAGCCCGTAAAATCACCAGCTGGCTTTTTATCTATTGAAGCTGTTAAGGACGATGATGTTCTATCAAAGCTTTGTGGGAATGATGTTGGCGTGGGAGCTGTGCCCCCCTCCTGAATCGAGGAGAAAGGAATTGATTGCATTATGCATCGCATTCTCCTCGGCCCTCTGGTGCGTAGGACATTGAGTTCGTAGGAAATACTGGCAACACTGTAATTACACGCAGATAATATTGGAGACACTTGCTTGGTGTGAAATCTTCGACTCAGTTGGCTGTTTTGCTGAACTGCAGCATCGTTTGGCGGTTGGCTATCGTATATGGTGAACTTGGTTCGAAGAAAGTTAGACCTGGTGAACAGCCAAATTATATATAGAGCATAGGAACCGAAGAAATAGACAATGCTAAAGGCTACTACGTGAGAGAATACTTGCCTCAGTTTCCCGACATATGTATGGCTGGCTCGTGAAAAATCACCTGCAACCAACGATACCACAAAGTCGGTGCTCGTTGCCCTTCTCGTCTTTTTGGCTGCCAGCAACAATTTGTCACTCTCGTCCTCAGCTGAACAAGTGTTAATATGATTAGCCACTTTAGCGGTGTACATTGCAAATAAGTAAATAACATACGAATGTGAAAAACAGTCTTGGAACATGGCTTACATGGAGTCAAACCAAGGTAGAGGCGATAAATCGAAGTAGCTCTATCCCTTTTGATAAAGCACTGGATTGGAGGGTCTCGAGGTCCTGGCTGATGGAAGATAGATAGAGAGGAACTTTTCAGTTTTCAGTTTCAAATTCCATTGACAATTAGATTAACAAAAAAAACACACTTATGGGTGGCACTGAGATTCGGACCCATGACTTTTGGCATGGCTCTGATAACAAATTGAAGCATGTGCTCCATCTCAACTAAAAGCCTAAGCTGATAGTTGGATTGCACATGGCTATATGCTCAACAAATTGAACCATAGTTACCTGCTTAAGTGAAATGGGAAAGGTTAGCCTCCCGCATTCCTCGGGAGTCTTGACAATGGCCTTAGTGATCTCCCTCCACGACTTACAAACCGATGCACAAAACAGAACCACAGTCCGGGCAGGCCATGATGTCTCGCTCTCTTCAACTCTCTGGATTATATCCAACAGCAATTCGGGCGGTAGATTTGCCCACCGCCCCTGCTCAATTGGATCAGAATGAGCCAAATCGGGAGCTATATGTGATAGCGTCCTACTCCGCCGCCATTGCCTCCCTTCCAACCCTCTCCTCGACATGCTCCCTATCCCGTCTTTCATCTCCCTCAGCTCGCGCACAATGCTCTTGAACGACATCCCGACTGATCATACCAATCGGGCAATCAAAACCTTACCACCAAGTAAAGAGAGAGTTTCTGATGTCTTATACTGTCATATAGAAAAGAGAATACAGAACCCTATAAATAGAAAACAAGTTTCCATATGCCTGCCTGCCTAAATCCCTAAGACTGCCTAATCTATAGAGATTTCAAATACTATATCTATATTCGATAACACACCTAAATGAAAGATCTATACTACTAAATCAAGAAATCAAAAGCACCCCCCATCTTTTCTCCTGCATTCCAAAAAGCCCCTAGATGAATGTTTCTCCCAAAAACAATTCTTGGTTTTATTTTCATCAGTCTAAGACTAATATAACCACACGATTCCCAGGTTTTGAAAGCAACATCTGACCTAGAATTCAAAGTTTGAAGTGGGTCAAATGGGGCAGAAGTTTGACAGGGGTAAAATCAACCCCCCAACAATCAAACATTATTCAACTTTCAAAATTTACTTTAACAAGTGTAGAATAAGTAAAAGTCTGATCTTTTACCAAAATCAGAAGCAACATTGTCCAGAAGCTAAACATTCACTATTAGGGAAAGTGTGAAACACTCCAAAAAAAAAAAAAAAAAAAAAAAAAAAAACATAAAAATTAGGAAATCAAAATTGTGGGATAATCAACTCTATCACTTGTAAGGCAACAAAGAAAACATTAAGGAAAAAAAATTCGAACTTTACACCTGGAAATAACACCAACCTAGAAAGCAAATTCGAAATTTATCGAAACTCAGAATTCAGAAAGCTAGAGAGATAGATGAAGGAGAAGAAGGTGAACCTGAGCTAAGAAGATGCAGAGATCGGTGAGAAAACAAAATAGATCGAACAGGCCATTGCAGACCGTGTCCTCCCCCACTGACTTGATTACTTGACCCGGCTTCACATTAATCTCTTGGTGGTCGGATTTCACATTGCCGGAACTTACCAGCGCTGCCGCCACCAACGCCGCCGTCTCCTCCTTCGCCGTCTGGAAAAAGGTGAAAGCAGAGGTCACGCCACGAGCTGAAAGATAAACAAAGCCACCCTCTCTGTCTATCTCTAATGGCACCAAACAAAAATTTAGCAAGACTTCAAGACAACTCCAGTTTTTTTCTTTTCTTTTTCTTTTATATATTCTAACCAGAAATTTTTAATTTTCGATAATTATATTTTATAATATATTTTTTCAGTCTTAAAATCACTTATTATCATGACATTATCTATAAATAAATAATGTGATTTATTTTTTGTAACTCCAACCAAGTTGGCTGACTTGTCAACCACAAATTACAAGTTCGACTCTGAGTGAGAGCAATCTATTACCTTTTTTTCAGTTTGAGTCAATCGGCTATAGACAGTCAATGTAAGTTTTACCAAATACCCACAATCAAGTATTGATTACGGTGTGATAATTTAACCTCTCTGGTGTGATTTGTTGATTATTACACTAATATGCAATTTACTCGGTGTATACATTGAATAGTAGTTACAGTTTCTCTCATTAAAAAAATTGTTTTATTACTTTAATTAATTTTTTAAAATTTAATACTCCATGTTTGATAATATTATTAAATCTAAATTAAATTATTATCTAGTTATATATATATTTTGGAAGAATAGTTATATACGAGTATAATTTAAAAAAAAAAACATTTCATTTTTATTAGTTTAATAATAAATTTGATGGAAAATATTTGGTACTATTATTTATGGCAAAAAAAAAAAAAAAAAAAGCAGGCTATTGACGTGGCAAATAACTAGGGCATCAGTGCATCACTTGATGTAAAGGCTAATGGGACCCACAAAAGGTGAGGGAAGCGTGATTTCTAATTTTCCTCACAAAGTTAGAAATTTAAAATGGACAGGCACTTATTATAAATAGAAAGACGTGAGCCGCAACAATGAGTAATTTTAAAGGAATCCGGCATTTACTTTTTACTAATATTCATCAACCCAAAAAAAAAAACAAAAACAAAAACAAAAATTTATATGAGATCGTCTCACAAACAGATTTGTGATTCGGACAAGTTGTAAATAATTTATTGCGTAAAGGTATTACACTGTCAATTATAAGTATTACAGTATTTATCATTAGTAACAATTGGTATATGTCAGAAATTTGGCTTCGCGTCACATGTCGATGACTAACAAAAGAAGAAGTTGGTTTTTCTATGGTGAAGGCAGAGCAGAAATTGGAGGAAGAAACTTCCATATTGATTTTATTCAAATTCCAACTAACTTTAGAGAATATAATACTTCCCCATATAAAGGAGTTACAACTTATGTCTCATAGGTAAATATTCTAGTATACTATATTTTAAATTATATTAATGCAATTTTATGGCATGTTTTATTATTATACTAAATTAAATGATATGTCACGTATTAACTAAAAATTTAAACAAATAGTGAGATTATACATTGTTTCATATATTGAAAAAAATGATATCTTTGTCTCTAAATTATACGAAAATAGCATCTTGTGTCACCTAGGTATACTTGTCACTTTTAATCTCTCAATTATTTGTAAAATAACTTTTTGTCATTGAGTTTTATTAAGATTGAGTTGAAAATTGCATCACTTTATAGACAATTGAAAAATGAGAAATAGTGATTGTATAGAGTGATGAAAGTGTCATTTTCTCTAATATATTTTATTATTTTATACTCAACATAAGTGAAAGAGGACTTTTGCAGTTTTTCTGTAAGATTTATTATTATAACTTTTGTCTCTGTAACATGTGATTCTTCTTTTTAATAATTTTGTTTATTTTCTTTTTTTTTTTTAAATTGACGGAAGTAGCAGGCTGGACATGCATGCATGCATGATAATCACCATTACCAAAATTAGGCTACATATTATTATGATAAGAATCAATTAATGAGAAAGAAAAAGGGGTGGTGCATAACAATCATGATATACATGCTAACATGACACAATCATGACTTTGGGTTGGATACATCTTCTTTTTACCCATCCAATTAAGTTTATTAATATGAAACCAAATCTATCGATGAATTTGAACTGTTTTTTGTTATTTATATTTTTCATATTATTGTCCATACAAAGGAATATTTAGGGATTTGAGAATTTTCACGAATAGAAAATTTTCATATTCTTATTCCTACAAGGAAATATTTAGGGATGGAGAATTTTCAATTGGGTATTATTAATTATTCAAATATTAGTTTAATACCATAAAATTTACATCAATATTTTGAATAGAACGAATTTCGTGCGGTGGACTAAGAGCCTAGCTTGGATCTATTAAGAGTGTGTTTGGTTACGTTCATGAGATTATAGACACAAAAAATGTGAATGAAAGTCATACACATTGTTTGGTTGGCAATTTTTTAAAGTATAGTCCATCGACTATAGCTAAATTCACAAATTGGTCTTCGACTTTCAATTTCAACCAATTAAGTCCTTAACTTTGTAATTTTAACACAATTTGGTCCTCTGTCTATTTGACCGTTTGTTGACTGTGATTTTTTTTTTCAACTTTTATTCCAATTATAAGGTTATATATAACCAAACATCAATATTTGTAAGTATTTCAATTCCACCGTACTACCAAACATGCTAAATACTTTTTCCAAAATCCATTTCAATTACCAACTATTTAATTCTTATTCCGATTCTAATTCTGATTCTCATTCTCATATTCAAACCAAACACCTCTAAATTTGGATTGTTGGGCCAACCACACGTTGTAGTTGGTCTAAGACCACACAAGCAAGTTCAACCTTTTTAATCATGCCAATTTTTTTTTTTTTTATATATATATAACTTTTGAATATAATCGCGCTTATATTCTTAACTGAATTTTAGCTGAAGAAATTATATCAAATCGTCTAATGAGTTTTAGATAGGCACAAAACCTAATTTAGACTTTGAGATGTATAAGTGACCTAAAAGCTTTATAAGCCAAATGAAAGAAATTGAACTTAAGAACGGTCAGTTGCTCTTTTGTTGGATTATATTAAAATGGAACAAACATAAAGGCTCTGATCTGCCTTCACTCCCTCCCTGTCATGTTAAGTTAGGCATGATGGTACAAATGATGAACACCCCACCTTTTTCAATTCCTACTCAATAATTCATACACGAATATCCCCCCTCCTTTTATATATATAAAATCAAATGAGAACTATATTTTTCAGGATAAATATGAATTAATTTAAGTTGTTTATTTAGGATGATCAATGATTAGAAAATAAGAAAAAAAAAATGAAGGATCAATTTCATAAAGTTTGTACATTTATGAAATTACTTTCCCATTATTTTTTTCCTCTTAATTTTCTTTGTTCTCTAACTATTAGAGACTAGATCATCATTAATTAGTATTTGTCCACATTTCTCACAGCAAGTCTTGTTCTCATAAAAGGACGAAGATATATTGGGGCATGAATAGTATAATAATATGACAATATGCTTGCTTACATAAATAATTGCAATTATGTGACCCGACTTGCTATATTTTGGTTACCATCTTGTGTTAAATCTAAACCTGTTTAGGGGTCAAATCTTGCCTTCTATATCACCACATACAAGCTAGTACAAGTAATTATCTTTTGTCAAGCACCTTGTGCTCATATGACATGTAGTGTCTCTCTTATTTGGAAGGTTATGAGATCGAGTCTCAATGGAGGCGGTGTTGACTCTTTCTGCTTCAACAGATTGAAAAAATATGTATGAACAGATAATACAATGTATTAGAGTCAGTAGCTTTCCAAAAAAAGTAATTATCTTTTAAGAAGGTTTGATATCTTCTAAATATAATTTTAAATTCGAAATCTATAAACAAAATAACAAGTGTATACGATAAGACATTTTCAATTATTGAAGCAATTGAAGATGTGCGATGATTGGATAGTTTAAAAAGTGGTCATGTTTAATTGGATGGTTGTGTTTATATAGGTAACCAAAACCTACCTTGACCGCTTTTCATAATGAATTTGTGTAGGTGTAACATGATCTTGTACCATTTTTGTAATTTGAAGTTTTTTTTTTTCTCTCTCTTGTATCCAAATAATAATATATAATATATAGTAACAACAACAATAGCAAGAAAATGATCGAAGAAGAAGAAATAGTGTTGAAAGTAATCTCTCATATGACGTACGGTGGAGATTTTTATAATTGTATGAGCTTTTTTAACATATACGATTGAAATTTTTGATATTTTTATTAAATATTTATATTTAACTTTTTATCTAACTATATAAACATATAAATATAAACTCCTCATTGTTATCTCAATTATTATATTGTTGTATTTTTGCAACTTCCAATTTAAAATCAATTAAATTTGATCTCGAACTTAATCTAACTCTAAAAAAATGATTTTTTATTTATTTAAAGAAACAACTATATAATGTACTTATTACATGCATGCTAATCCAGTAGTAATGAACTGTTGGATCAATCGTTATGCCTTGGACCCGTGTCCAGCATGCTTGCTGGACACGGGTAACAGTGCCGTTAGGCACTGTTATCTCCTTTTTTTTTTTTTTTTTTTTTTTTTTTTTTTTTAAATTTCAGATCACTTTGTTATAGAAGTATATGTTAATAATTTTATTACTATATGTTAATAACTATACATTCATAACTCCATAACTGTACGTTCATAACTCTATAACTGTACATTCATAACTCTATAACTGTACATTCATAACTCTATAACTGTACATTCATAACTCCATAATTGTACATTCATAATTTTTGAAGCTCTATGTTCACAATTTTAGAGCTCTATGTTCATAATTTTATCACTATATGTTCATAATTGTAAGTTCATAATGTTAGAGCTCTTTGTTCATAATTCGATCAATAACTGTACATTCATAATTCCATAACTGTAGATTCATAATCTCATAACTGTAGATTCATAACTCTATAACTGTACATTTATAATCTTCGAAGCTCTATATTTACAATTTTAAAGCTCCATGGTCATAATTTTATCACTATATATGTTCATAATTGTAAGTTCATAATGTTAGAGCTCTGTGTTCATAATTTCATAACGGCATAACTGTACGTTCATAACGGCATAACTGTACATTCATAACGGCATAACTGTACATTCATAATC